GATTCACAGACAACTTGAACAAGGACTTGAAGCAAGCCCTGCACCTTCTCATTATGCAGTGACTGGACAAATGATACAGGACTTGACAATTAACCCAAAAATTTTCTTTTCAGGATTCCCTAAAGATGTCTTCGCCCCCAGAAAGCAGGAAGTAATTTTAAGAAAACTATGCCCATATTCCCAAGAGGTGGGTGGGTATTTTTGGTCGTTCAATGACTTATGGATAATTGTCATTGTTTATGATGGCTGGTTACAAGTTGTTAATTGTTAATGGTCAGGAAAAAAATCTGAACAAGGAGATTAGATTCAGAGTTTTTGTTTAAAAAAAGAAAAAGAAAAAATAGAATATAGATATGAGGTAGATCATTGAATCTACTCTGAGAAAAAAGATAAATAATAGAATAAATGGGTAAATCGTTGACTCTACTCTAAAAAGAAAATGGGGAAGACATAAAAATAACAAAAGGTAGATTATTGAATCTATTATGAAAAGAAAAAAGAGAAAATGTGGATATGATAAGATAAATAGGTCAATTATTGAATCTACTGTTAAAAAGGAACAACTTGTTTTAAATAGGATAAGTAATGAAAAATTTTGTCTAAATTTATCAAATGTTACTGGACTGAACATCATTATATATTAATGGAGTTTTTCGTCTGAAACTGTCAAATGTTAACGGACTAGACATCATTAATGTAATTCTTGACTGTATATATTGTATATACTTATTGGATATAGTTTTTCTTATATTAGTTATAACTTTTTTCCTTTTATTAAAATAGAAAGGGAGAAATGTGATATTTTATTTGTACTGAAATGTGATTTTATTTGTATGTTAATAAATAAAGTTGCCTGAGGGTCAGAGCTAATAGCAAGCCATAGCAGAAGCTGGGTGGTGGTGGTGGTGCACACTTTTAATCCCGATCACATGACAGACAGATCTCTGTGTGTTCAAGGATACAGCCAGCATGAGACATACGCCTTTAATCTCAATACCAACCATAGAAGACCTAGAGGTCTGTATAGACAGGCAGTGGCGAGGAGGTCATGTGGTTGGGTTTACAACCAATGAGAAGGCAGAACAGAAAGTCAATAAAAAGACAGATACATAGGAAGTAGGTCTCTTTCTAAGGGGAAGGACGGCAGCAGCAGTGAAAGTTAAGAAAGGTTTTTTTAGTATCAGTTCTTAGCTACTGCTCTGACCTTTTGGGCTTTTAACTCTGCATTTGCCTCTGTGTTTCTTATTTAATAAGACTGTTGTTCCTCTAGCATTGTAACTTCAGAAATAAACATCACTCAGTTAGAAATTGGAAGAGTGATGAATCTAAAACCACAGTGGGATCAGATATAGAATGTGTGTAATAGTCTGTGATTCCAGCACTTGGGAAGTGACTACAGAAAGATAGGGGGATTCTCTCTCTCTCTCTCTCTCTCTCTCTCTCTCTCTCTCTCTCTCTCTCTCTCTCTCACACACACACACACACACACCAATGGAAAATAGTGCAAAGGTAAAAAATAGCTTCTTAAAATCACAAGGGAAAAAATAGAGCCTTTATGCGATTGTATTAATATCTTTTCTGTTGCTGCGATAAAACACCATAACCAAAAGCAACGTATGGAATAGAGAGTTTTTTTTGGCTTATGGTTTCAAATAAGGGTCCATTATGTTGGGGTAGCCTGGCCGTGGGTGGCAGGCATGGTGGCAGGAGCAGGAAGCTGAGAGATCACATTTTCAAATGCAAGCACAAAGCAGAAGGTGAGCTGGAAATGACAGGAAGGGCTAAACTCTAAAAGCCCACTCCCAGTGATGTACTTCCTTCATTGAAGTCACATCTCCAAAGTATCCCCAAACAGTGCTACTTGGCTCCAGTGCAAACTGGAGACCAAGAGTTCAAATGCCTGAGCCTATGGGGAACATTTCTCTTTTGAAACACTGCATCTATTAGTATAAAAATTTTGGGCTCTGATGAGCTCAGTTATCAAGAGCTTGTGAAACAAACCCAGCACCCTGGTTCTAGCATTAGCACCACAAAAGCCAAGTAGAGTGATATATTACTGAAATCTCAGCATTTGGGAGGTGCAGACAATGGGATCAGAAGGTCAAGGCATAGTGAGTTTGAGGCCAACCTGAGATACATAAACATTGTCTCAAAAATAAGAAAATTCGAAAGCTGAGAAAAAAATTATTTCCTTGAAAAAATTATCTGTACTAGTGTTCTCTAGAGGAACAGGATTGATAGTGATTAATATATATATTGGCATATATATATATATATATTAGTGTTATATATACATTATTTATTAAACCAGCTTACATAAAAATAGTAGCAATGGTTGCCTTACACCAGAGAGGCTGAGAATAGCTAGTTGCCTGGTCCTCAAGGCTGGGTGCTACAGAAGTTTCAATCTGGTGCTGAAAACCTGGAAGGTTCCTGGAGAGCTTCTGTGTTTTAGACAATGGTGGAAGTGGGGAAACACTGGTTCTGATGTCAGCGAAGAGATGGTAACAGCAGGGTAAATCAGCTTGGCAGCCCACACTTCTATCCTGGCTGCTACCTCAAGCTGCTTCCCACACTCGGGGTTGGTCTTCACACATCAATTAAGTCAATTGGGACAATTCTTCAGGTGACAGTCCTTACTCAGGTGATACTGATTTGTGAATCCAAGTGGACCTTAAAACCAACCATTACAGCAGCTTACAAAATTTGACTAAAAAAATAAATGTGGTCTGATTTTCATCTTATACTTTTATTAGCTACAATTTAAATCATTTGATTTGTGTGAGTGACTTGGGGATGCATTGTGAAGCAAGGATCTAGACTTGTGTCCCAAACATTAGTTATTTGATCCATGTCATTACCTGATTTACTACTATTCAATAATTCCTGTTTTCCCAATGCTCATTTGAATGACATTTTAGTCAAATGCTAACACATCCACATGCCAAATTAATTTCTAGAGTTTAAATTCAGTTCCACTAGCCTCTCTCTTCATGTTTTTCCTTTAGAGGCTCTCTGGCAGGCTGCATTTTCTGATAGGGCTGTCATCTTGAAGTGGGACTTTAGAATAAAATTAAACATAGGCTTTCCTTAGTTTGAATATAGCGATAAAAATTCTCAATAAGATATTGGTACACTGAAGTAAGCAATATGCAAGAAAGCAACATATCATGGTGAAGCATCATGCTGAGGAATGAAAACATGGGTTCTCTTTAAATCCCATCAGTATACCTGTTATACTGTATTTACAGGGGGAAATCTGTCATAAACTACAGAAAAACTATTTGGTAATGATCAATAATTATTTTTGGAAAACTCTAACAAACTAGGCAATTTGATTTTAATAATAGGTATCTACCCAAATCTTCAACAAACATTGCATTTCTTGGTGAAGACTTTGTTTAAAAATCCTGATGGTTCTTGCTTCTTTTAAATTGAAATCTCAGTAAAATGTGACAAGAAAATCCAGGTATGTACGGATTGGGACAGGGAAACAAGGCTTGCTCCTGTGTAACATAAGCCTCCTTATAGGAAACACAGAAGAATCTGCAGCCACAATAGGACCGGATGAGTGATTAAGATTCCCAGAGACCAAACACCAGTGCTCCACATGCCCGCAGAGAACAGTGAGAACACTGACCTTAGAATATTGTAGAGACTACCAGGTGTCTAAGAATAAACTTACTGAAAGACAAAGTTCACGGCAAAATTATGAAATCTGGTTAATGGATATCAAAGGAAAACCTAAATGAGTTGAGAAATATGCTGTATTCCCAAGTGTGAAATTATTACCATAGAGATGGCTGTTCAATTCAGAATTGAGTTCTGAATCTACAAATGGCATTTCAAGTGAACAGGGGACTTTTTATGGAACTTTACAAGGTGATATTAAAATCTGAAACTTCATAATCAATCAAAGTTCTGAGACCGAGTGATAGTTTAATGTCCAGCTACAACGGAGACATCTATGTCACCCTTTCCAAGGCTCAGTGAACATCTCTGAAAGGAGTGAAAAGATCCAGAGGAAGGAAGGAGAGCAATGTGGAATGTTGGCTTATGGCATAGCTCTTGAACTCTCAACAACTCTGATTACCTACATAGATAGGATTTGGAGGGTGGAAGGGACCCACCACACACTGAGCACATTTACTGGAAAATGACCTTCACCGATACATATTCTGGTGAAATATCAGAACTCCAAAGACTAATAGAGCAAATTAAAAAATGAGAAGAAACAACACGAAGATGTTCCTGGCAAGAGAACAAAACCAAACCTCATAGGCCACCCACCATTGGCATCAGAAAACAGGGAGGAGTTGCTTCAAAATGCTGAGGGGGGTAATAGTGAGCAGGTGGGAGGGTTGAGAAGACAACTTGGTTTTCTGTCTCTAGTTGACCTCCAGGCTCCCAGGCTCACTTTTAAAAGAAAGAGGGTTGGAGAATATTGTTTTAAGATGTGTTACTTTTGCTTATGCTGTGGAACATTTGCTTTAATGATGCAAAGATGTGTTGCATTTTTTTTTTTTTACATTGCATTTGTTTAACTCTGTGAAGCTGTGATTCTTTGCCTGTCTAAAACACCTGATGGTCTAATGAAGAGCTGAATGGCCAATAGTGAGGCAGGAGAAAAGATAGGTGGGGCTGGCAGGCAGTGAGAATAAATAGGAGAAATCTGGGAGGTGAAAAAGGAGCAAGAGAACAAGGAGAGGAGAATGCTAGGGGCCAGCCACTTAGCCACCCAGTCAGCCATGGAGTAAGAGTGGAAGTAAGATTTACAGAAATAGAGAAAGGTAAAAGCCCAGAGGCAAAAGGTGGATGGGATTAATTGTAAGTTGAGAAAAGCTGGCTAAAAACAAGCCAAGCTAAGGCGGGGTATTTATAAGTAATAAGAAGACCCCAGGTATGATTTATTTGGGAGCTGGGTGGTGGGCCCCTCAAAATAGTAAAAGAGCCAAAAGAGTAAAAAACAGCCGACAACAAAGGGGAGGACATCTGCTGACCATTGCTGCCCCACATCTTCACAGGAGACTCTAGTCTGGAACTCCATCATCATAGGTGTTGACCTCCTCCTAGGCAGTGCCTGTGCTCCTTCAGGATGGGTTGGTGCTCAGAGCAAAGAACAAACTAAGAGAATATGGCAACATGGGGTTCAGATGGGACAAGGAGGCCCAGGGAGTCTCCTTAGCCTCTGTGTGAACTGAGGAAGCATGTTGGTCTTTAGTGTGGCTTTATCAGATGAATAAAACGAAGTGACCAGAAGCTGCGTGCCAGTGGGATTCTGGGTTGCAGCACCCAGTCAGCTTAGGGTCTCATGATCTCCCCTGGACACTGGAAACTTCATGCAGCCAATGCCGTCAAGGGGGCCTCTGAGAAGGTGGTTGTGGTTCAATGCTACCCAGAGACATCGCAAAGGCCCTACGAGGTCTGTCAGGCTCTGACTCACCTGCCCATCAGTCCTTTTCTGTCTAAGGTCCCAGATCTCTGATGAAACATACCACAGTTCTTGGAAACCCCGAAGTGTGTGACATCTTGTGTGCCAGCACGTGGAAGAGCATCAAAAGTGTCGGAGCTAGTACGTTAACCTCTGTTCACCCTTAGAGGTGTAGAGCCTCTCGACACTTGCCGATTCTCCTGCCTCCCTTCCGAACCCACCAAACCCGCGTGAGCTCTATCTGTCATACATTCCGGCCTGATGTCACAAGGGCCAGAGTTTGCCTGGATCCAGAGTAGCTGCAATCTGCTCACTCTTTGGTTTGGCAGTTGGGCGGATCTCTAAGTAGCGCAGTAACCGCCCTAAATGAGAAAGTTTTCCTCACGACTCAGCTGCCCACCCTGCATCCAGCCACTCCAGATCATCACTCTCAACATCCTGCAACCGGGCACTGCCCCTACCTGGCCTGCATCGTTAGGTTGTTACAGCCAAGGAAAATCTGCCCAAATTCCACCTCTCCTGTTTGCTCTGGTCCACTGGCCTCTACAGCGCCCCCAGAAGGCAGTACGACTTCGAGATGTTCCGGCCCCTGAGACCCATGAAAATCCCTCTTCTGGAGCAAAATCCTTTCCCTACTGCCTGGCCAGCATGGGTGGTCCAGACTGAAGAGGCTTGGACATTGGACCCTCTGCCTCTTCCTTACTCAAATGAAACTGAGCCAGAAGCCAAAGAAGAATTTAAAAACAGAAGGGAAGAGAAGGGGAAGGAAGCAAAAAAGGAGGAAGGAGAGAAAGAGGAGGAAGAAAAGGAAGAGGAACAGCTGAAGGGGGAACAGATGGAAAAGGAAGAACTAGAGGAAGAGGAGGGAGAGGAGAAGAGAGAGGAGGAGGAGGAGGAAGAGGAAGAAAATGGCTGGTGGCTCCCGGAGGAGACAGAAGGCCAAGGTGGTAAGGAAAGTGGTTCATCCAGCATCCTTGTGGAAGCAGCTACATCGATGACCTTAGTGGCCAAGTCAACGATGGTTTCTATAACGCTGCCTTATAGACCTCAAGTAGGAAATCAGTGCCCCCACGACCCCTCTGCGGAAGTGACTGCCCTGGTATCTTCCAGGGAGTTCTCCTGTGGCCTCAGCTCCCCCAGCTCTCATAGCCCTGCTGAAGTGGTCGCCACTCATGGATTCTCTGGTGAGGATGTACCGGGGTATCCGACGCAAGCCTCAGCCAGCTGCTCCTCACATTGGGAGTCCTTTCCTAAGAAAGAACTGGAGGTAAATCGTCTTCTAGGCTCTACAGATTCCCATCCTCAGACTAGTGCACCAGGGAGCCCTACCACTCCTGTGCCTGCATTAAAAAGACCCTACAAGAGAAAAGCAGCCACACCAGAGCTGCAGCTGCCACCCTCAGGGCTCCTACAACCACCCTGGGATTGGGGTGACCTGCCCCCACCTCCCAAGATGCCACGTATTGACACAGAGAAAGAATCAGACAGCATGAAGAACGTGAAGGGTCAAGCCACCCAGATCTCAGATGGTAAAGCAGATGCCTTACAGCCTGAAAACCAGATGGTGTCCGTCCACACTGCCCCCCTTCCTGTCCTGCCCAGCCCCCCACCTGCTTCAGGGCCTGCAGGCTTTCTGTCTCTGCTCACTGATGGGGTTTCCAGCCCTGATCCTCCTGCCTCCACTCCCTTCTTATGCCAGGCTGCTGGGCCCCCAATCCCATCTGTCCCTTTACCTTCCCTCACAGCAAATACATCCACAATCCCCATTTCTCCTTCAGCTCTCCCCTCTGAGCCTCTTCCTCCCTGTAGGGCCAGGCCCAGTGTGGAGACTCCACTAGATGCAAAGAAAGGCCCTGCTGATTTGGCCACAGCTTTGGTTTTTGCCATTTCTTATCTCCCCAGGCCTGGTCCTGAACCTTTGTCTTTCAACTTCCCCTCCTGCAGGAGGGTGTCCCCAGCCCCAATGAGCATAGCTGGTCACCCTCCCCTGCCCTTCCTTGCTACTTCTCTAGCCCCTTCCCTCAGGAACCCTCCTACAGTGTCTACCATGGCATCCCATGCCTGTGAAGACATGAGCTGGGAGCCATCTTCAGGGCCTGCAGTGATGGACATGGATACCACACCCCCATCTGAGGCAGCTATTCTGAGCTCACCCACAGTCAGCAGTGGTAGCTGTTTGCCATTTGCTCCTAGCTATGGCTGTATGCAGCAGAGGCTGGCTGCAAATGCTACAGTGTCCACTGACCTACTCACACTCAGGGTGCCCTGCCACACCCCCATTGGGAATAATCTGTACATTCCTAAGCCTACCAATGGGTGGAATCAGGGAGTGTCTCCCTCTGGTGATCGTGGTGTTTGGACTCAACCTGGGCTGGACTCTGCTCTTCCTGCCATAGCAGCAATAACACCTTCTCATCCTGCCACGGACTTGGAGTTCATGGACACCACCCCTCCTTCTAAAGCTGTCATCTTGCACTCTTCCCCTGCTGTTGACCATGTCTCCAACAGTCTGCTTCCCCAGTCAGTTTGGGGGCCTATTAAGGCTTACAACCATACTGGAGCTACCTCTCAGTCCACTCCCGCACTGCTAAATGGGCCTCGGCCTAACGGCTGTGTCTTTCTGAGGAATCCATCCACTTCCACAGCAGCAATTGGCCTCACCTCACTAGCTGCTAGTGGTAGCACAGCTCAACTAGGATTTGCAGGCTCAACATCACCTGTTCACGGGGGCCAGCCTAATGGCACTGTGCTGGTCTATGGGAAGCGCTCATGTGCTTCCTACATTGCTGTGCCCACTTCAGGGTTTACCCTCCACACAGGAATGGGCTCGGGGGACTGCAGCTCATCACCCACCAACTTCACTCCCAGCACATCAGCATTGGTGAGGCCAGCGATGCTACTGAGTGGGGAGAACAGTGGGCATGGCAAGCTCACACAAGGACGAGTGTCCACAGGATACACTGCTGGACGGAAGGGGAAGGACAGTAGAGCTACTGTTGCCCCTATTGTTCTCAAACTTTGCCGCTCATCTGCACACAGTGGTGATGCTGTGCAAGTGGAGGCTAGAGGACACTAGAAGAGGGGTGTCTACTACCCTCTCTGGCTCTCCAGGCTGACTCAGGCTCAGGGGTACTTATTAGAGCACAACCCCTGCCATTTATAGAAGTGCATATGAAGGTACAAAACTCGACAACTTCACGTCTGCAGATGTACAAAGACCTTTTGACCAAGTATGGTTACTATGACTTTAGCCTGTGATTTTGAGTGTACTGATATTTTCTTTAGTATTCAGGGCATTGCCCAAATTAGTTTATTCTCATGGTAGTTTTTGTGTTATTTTCAGTTACTTATTAAAAGTAAAGCTGGTGTTGATGTTCTTAAAAGTGATCTAGCTTTCGTGGTGTTGACCGAGTTTCATGCACACATTGTATTCAATTTTTCAATAATAGTGAGGTCATTTTCCACTCAAAATAAGTGGTGTGTTAGTTACTTTTCTACTGCTGTCATGAGACATCATGACCAAGGCAACTTGGAGGAGAGTTTCTTTTGGGCTTATGGTGTGAGAGGGTTAGGTTCCTGATGGCCTAATGGAGGCAGCAGATGCCAGGAGGCTGAAGCAGCAGCTAACAGCTCATGTCTCAAATAGCAAGTAGGAAATAGAGAGCGCACTGGGAATGCAAGAGCCTTCTGAAACCTTAAAGCCCCTTTAAAGCCACAGTGACATACTTCCTCCAGCAAGCTTGCAACACAAGAGCTTGTAAGAGGACATTTCCTATGCAAACCATAAAGGCTTAAACCTTAAGTGTGGCTGTGTTTGGAGAGGAACCCTAAGGAAGCAATTGAGGCTAAATAGGGTCAGAAGGTCAGACTCTAATCCAACAGTGTTTGTTTCCTTGCTAGAATATATCAGAAAGCACTGGGTTCTACCCCTTTCTCCATATATGGCTGGAAGTAATGAATAGGTGTCCCTTTGGAGAGAGATCTCATTAGAAATCTAACTTGTTTGCACCTAGATCATGGACATGCAGCCTCTATGGCTGTGAAAAATGAATGCCTATTGTTTAGGACACTCAGTCTGTGGCATTTCAATAGGGAAGCCGGAGATGACTAACATACTAGTCCAAGGAACAAGAATCAGAGTTCTTACAAATCTGTCAGATAAATTGTGACGGGTGTTTATTTTTTTGCTAATCTCTCCCATCTCAGTCCCCAGACATGACTATGGCAGTGATGGACGATGGCAGCAGGCTAACATGCAGGAACTCAACCTCCAAGGCTGGGTAGCTTGCTTTCTGACTGGCTACAGTCCCAAGGCTGTGGGACTGATGCCTTGAATTCTCTCCTCTCCTCTCCTCTCCTCTCCTCTCCTCTCCTCTCCTCTCCTC